GGAAACAAAATCCTGCAGTCAGAGGTCTCTGTGCATCACCTTTTGTCTATTATGAAACCACAGTTGGATGACATGAAAGGTTTTGCCAGAACAGCTTCAGTGCTCTTTGTCTCAGATTCTCCAGGTTTCCAGGACTCGACTAGAGGGATGAACAAAAGATATTCCCTCATTTGGTGCTTTTGTACACCAAGATTTCTCATAGGTGTTAAATTGGGTTGAGATCTGTTGCCTGTGTTTCTTATCATTTTCATCCTCAACAAACCATTCAAAGACTCCTCGTGCTCTGTATGGAAGCATCTTCATTAATTGCTGAACTCATTTATTGAGATTTTTCCCCAAGGGTTTTCCCAAGGGCAGAAAAGAAGCTGCTGGAGCTTTTAATCGGTATTTTAATCAGTGACATTATTATTATTATCATTATATAGAACTGTGGTTCCCAATAATTGTTACTTGTCAGGCCTTAAAATGAAGCAATATACCCAGACCCACCCTGACTTGGGTCCTGGGTGGGGTCTCAGTTAGGACCCATGTGATCCTGTCAGGACCTATGCTTATGATTTATGGTGCGTCCCTTTGGAAGGGGTCCCACACCCATGTCTGTAGGAAACCATTTCTTTCTTCATGTTAACTTTGACCTTTGTTGGCTTAGGATGTGTGAGGGTGGGGTATTCCCTGTCAGTAATGAAGCCTGATAGAAGTGGGAATGCCTCGGGGTCGACAACAGGTGGACCTTTAGATGAATCTGTCTGTGTTCATTCATGGCAGCAGGTGGATGTGTGAAATCTGGAAGCAGTGTCTCTGCTTTCTGGCCCTCAGGGCTTCTCTGTATAGTATTACTGACAGATGTGTGGCCTCTTCTGTAAATCATGTTAGACTGTCAGTTAGAGCCTTGTCGGTTGGTTTTGTCCCCTCATTCAGTTTGAAATGTAATTAAATGAATATGAAATACCACAAATCAATCACTGCGAAGAAGCCGATTTCTTCAGAGAGACAGGATTATGTACCTGGAGTGTGCAGCACAAACATAATCCCCTGAAACCTATTTCACTGCAGTTACAGCGCAGATAGGTAAACTGTAGGATGACAGTACAAAGTGTGTCTTCAGTTTTAAAGGATTGGTTTGACATTTGGGGAAATGTACTTGTGCTTTCTTGCTGGGGGTTAGATGAGAAGATCGATACCACTCTCTTGTCTGTACACTAAATATGAAGCTACCACAAGTGAAGGTTAGCAAGTTTAGCCTACAAACTGGAAACAGCTAGCCTGCTAGCCTGGCTCTGTCCGAAGGTAAGAAATATCTGCCTACCAGCACCTCTAAATTCAGACAAAAAGTGATATGATTTTACATTAGAAATTTGTGCTTTCAAATCATCTCAGATAAGCTACATTTCTCCCCTGTCTCCAGGGGAGTAAATGCTATCATTTTCTGGTTGTAGCTTCATATTGAAAGGAATATATTTTTTTTTACACAACCTTAGATGAGAATTGATACTCGCTGTCATCTCTGTCCATCAAATACGAAGCTAAAGCGAGGAGACAGTGCGAGAGATAGGGAGCTAGCTTAGTTGTGTCTAGTTAGCTGTAAGGCTAATATCAATATTTTTGTATAAAAATGTAACTTAAGTGTAAATGTCACGCAATTGTTTTATTGACTAAATTGCAAAAGCGCTGTATGAATGGATTTATCATTTATCTCTGGCTACGAGTCGAGTTGCACCACTCTGATGTATGTCCATTGAAATTCACCTACCAGCAGTTGTAAGTGTAGAACTGAAGAAAAAACTTTTTGTGGTTTTGTACAAATAGACTTTGTTTCTTGTACAGATTAAACAAACAAAATATAATGTCTTGATTAGTGAGCTTTAGAGGTGATGGTAGGCTGATTTTGTTAGCATTACAGATCCAGGCTAGCTGTTTCCCTCTGCTTCTGTTTTTGTGCTAAGCTAAGCTAAACTGAGCTAACCAACTACTATAAAGTGGCGTCAAAGCAAATTTGCAAAATAAACAATTGAACTATTCCTTTGAAAGCAGCTGGGGTGATCGTGAACAACACAAATAGAGATAAACGCAGCGATGGCAGACAGTTTAACCCTTTCTGCTCCTGAGTTTCCTCCACACCAGCTGTTAGAGTAGCCACATTTTTAGCATCGCAGGGGGAGATGACTCGGTGTGAGGTCAGATGTTCTCACAGTCTCATGAATTAGACATGAATGGTGGTGTGGTCCGGCTCTGAGGAGGGGACAGCTGAGTGTGCAGGCTGATGGTGGCAACATGAGGCCATTAGTGACGTCTTCCTTATTAATTAGTAATGAACTTTGGGGTTCAGGTGGAGAAGGCTGCTAACTAATGGGAGGCAGTAAGTAGATTCTAGAAATCACCAGAAAGTGTCCACTTGTCCAGTGTTTGATATTAATTATTTATTATTATTTTCTTTTTCAGGACAAATCCTGAAGATTGAAAATACCCTGACTGATCTTGAATTTGATTATCTCCCATTAAACCAAATTCTTTTCCTGGTGCTTAATGTACCATCACCCACATTACCACCATGCCTCTGATTTATCTCTTGTTTTTTGTCAGAACTTCCTTTCATTTCTTTGTTGAGACAGAGAGGAGTATCAGATCACTGTAGCCATGTCAACTGTGGCAGTGAGTGATGTGTTGTCCTGAAACACAACCAGTTTCCCTCCAACTGAGAGCTACAGCGCAACCGTTGGTTTGACAAAGAGGGAGGGGGGGGGGCACTCAAGAACTTTCTTCCCTTTCAGTCTGTGAGGTTTAAGACTGCCTGGGTTTTCCTGGACGCTTTTACACATTTCCAACATCTGTCAACATCATCAATAACCACTTATGTATTTAATAAATTATGCTCTGGATGCTATTATTAAATTATTAAATTGGAGTAGTCTGGATTTAGAAAAGATCGTCCAGTGACTCTGACTCATTGGAAAAGGTTTCATCCTGTAAAAGTTAAATAAGAAAAGTTAGACCAGTAAAGCCACAAAATATTTCAAGTATCATCTATGTATTCTCAGATATTGTAGGGCTGCAGGGATTAGTTGATTACTCAATAGAAAGAAAATGAATCGGTTCTCAAATGTGAGAATTTTCTTCTTTATTGAATATTTTTGTGTTTTGGCCTGGTAGTCAAAACAAGACATCTGCTGATGTCACCTTTTATATAGATGTTCGTTGTGATGGACATTCTTCATGGTTTTCTGATGTTTCGTCTACCAATTAAGTAATTATATCAATAAATTGACAAGATAATCGTAAAATAGCAGTGAGCGCTCTCTTATTGTGTAGGTGAAAGCAGAACTTGATTTCATGTTAAGTCTGTACTGTGTGTTACCGGGTTTAGATTAATTGTACTTGAATTTTACTAGTCATAGGTTTTATGAGAGTAGGGTGTCCTGTTGGCCGAGGGGCTCTTTCCTGTTATCTCTCTACTGTCAGCTTCTTACAAAAAATACTTGACTATGACACTGTACAATCACTGTGTGACGCTCCTGTTAGTGCAGGCTCCGCATCTTAAACCTGTCTCCACTTACCTGCCCCTTTAGTGAGCTGTCAGCTGTGGTGAACATTTTGGAGTTTTGCAGGAGTCATAACGCAGCTGTCAGAGTCTTTGTTTAAAGGAACTATACAGTATTTGAGTGACTCCACATTCCTCGCAGGCATCATGCATCTTTCAGATTACAATTTTCAATCCAGCTGGTTAACAGTTGAGTCTTCGAGGTTGTGGATGTGTCTGTTTGGCATGACATGAATGTCTTTTTCACCTGCATTGGGTGGATTTGATATTGTACTCTTTTCCAGGATCACCTTGAAACATGAACTGACAAAAATTTGCCTAATCTCAACTTTTTTTTTTTCTGGTGCACTGTGTTGTCATTTGTGTTGCTATGTGACAGGCTCTTCCCTATAGCAACAGATGAGGCTGATCTGAATACATGAGAGACTGCTGGCTGTTTTCCAAAAAGCTTCAGTCAGTGCCATAGCAATTTTAGTGGTTGTTGCTTTTCATCTTATTGGAGTTCATCAAAGAATTAAATGAAGGGAATTAATTAGATTAACATTGAAGAGTCAACAGATGAATCATTGAACACAATCTAAATAATAGAACAAATCATACCAGCTTTATTGAGAATTTATTTCATTAACTCATTCATGTGACAACTTCACTTACATTAATGAAAGCACTGTGTTGCCAGTTTAAGGTCACATGGATGTCAGTCTGATGTAAAACCATCAGAGAACAACATCACTACACAACACATGCCCTTTTAAGTGACGCTTTTAATGGAAATCCCATTATTGTCATAACCTTCAATTTCCTTAGTTGTCTTTGTTAGCGGCCTGCTACATGAGAACTGTTTAAGACTGAAAATGACACCAAACTGTGTAACAGAAGCTAAGCTGTATGTGTAACATCTCTGACCATTATCCACCCCAGAGCCTGACTTCAAAGCCCTTCAAGCATAGAAAAAAAAATAGGATTTGCCATTACCCTTATTGTGAGCCCCTTTGACTGGGTACCCCTTTTCTTTTGATCTGTCACACCCCTTAATTTCCCCTAATTTCAGATTGTCCATGACAGTATGCATGACTACCTCTGAATAATCCTGTCCTGTGTTGTTTTTGTTGCTCTTCCAGCTCCATGGCCGTCGCCGCCGCCCGCCCTCTTCCCCCGGGAGGTAACCTTCAAAGGCTCTGCTCAGCACGATGGATGACCAGCTGAGTGATGGAGATGGACAGAATCAAAGGACATGCTCCCTTCATTGTGACTAGATGAAGGGACACCTCGCCTTCCTCCAGCAGCGAGGGGACAGCACTGCAGCATTTTGATGTTCTTCAGACTGAACAGATGCACCTAAAAGAAAAGAAATCAGTTCTTTGGAGATCATTTTTGAAAAAGAGGAAATACTGATCAGATATAATCAGTTTGTGTAAGACTGTCTCTCAGCATAGAGCTCATATGCTGACTGCTTATCCCTGTGATGCTTGTTATGAGTTGTCCATCCACAACCAATGAGCCAGAGAGCTGCAGCAGCGAGGGGAGCAGCTGCACCACTTCCTCCATCACAACCTCTGACCCGTCCTCCATGTCCGGACACTCCGCACTACCTTCCCTTAGTGTCGGCCCTGACACCTCCAAGCATGGAGCTCCTCCTCCTCCTCCCCTGCCGCCCCCACCTCCGGGGGCTCCCCCTCTTCCGCCACCCCTGGCGACCACCTCCACTAACCACAATGCGAGGAAGAAGCGACGCGTGCGCAGCTTCTTCTGGAAGCCGATCCCGGAGGAGAAAGTGCGCGGGAAGCCCAACATCTGGACGCTGGCGGTGCGGCAGCAGCAGTACCAGATCGATGTCCGCTCTGTGGAGGAGCTGTTCGGGCAGCAGGAGGAGGCGCTGACGGGCATACGAGGGGCTGCGCCAACCACTGGATCCTCAGCTCGGGTGTCCCGATCCCGCTCATTCAAGGAGAGCAGTAAGGATGAGGTGAGTGGTTGTTAGGAGTCTGCTGTAACACTGAAACCTGCAACAGGTGATGGAGGAGTGTAGAGTGATTATTCTTCCTCCTTAATTTGAAATGGCCTTTTGTGGCCTTGGAAGTCACTATATTTAACACAGAGGACTCGCCAGTACAACCACCTTTTAAAACCCTACAGTGTCTCCTCTAGAGATTGATATGAGTTCCTGTTTGTATCATATAGAAGATGATGATAGGATCCAAAAGTGCTTGTATTTGTGTCGAATGCTTTTTAGTTGCTTAACCGGGTGAAAACATTTTATGTTTTCCTTTTTATACAAATGAAAAACTTCCACACTCTTCATTTACCATGATCTACACAACCTTCATCAGGTGTATGGATAAGTATATATACATAGATGCTCAGTGAATTATCCAACCAGAGCACCATAAAAGTAAGGTCAGTTATTGAGCACATTGTCATCCAGGTAAATATGGAAAAAAAAACATGCAATCAAAATAGTGACATTTTTTCATTATTATGATTTTCAGTGATCACTTCTTTGTTTCTCAGTTTGTAAAATGAAATCACATTTTTCTGTTGAATTAAATATTCTCAGGTTCTCGTTTCAGAGCTCAGATTCAATAAATGTATAAAACCTGAAGTCATGACACATACAGACTCTTAACATCCACTTCTATTGTTTTTGCAAACATGTGCAAGATGTACTGGTCACTTCAGGTCCTGAACACGCCACTGATGGGATTCAAAAGTCTCAGAATCATTATCATACAAAAGCTACAGCACATAACTCTACACTGCTCAGAATACAGTGTGTATTCAGACATCCCTGCAGGGACACATTAGGTAACGGTGCCCAGTTACAGCTTTTCTCTGAGTGTAAAAAAATGATTTGTGTCCATAATCAGCACAAAAGCATGCTTGCGTCACTGAGTGCTCCTGGACAGAAACATGTGAACTGTAAAGCAAAACCTGCGTGAGGCGTAGGGATACTCATGTCACAATGAACTGACTGCAGCTGGACAAACCTCAAAGTCTGAACAGTTGTTACTAAATACGCCTTTGGGAGTTTCAAACAAAGCCACAATCTCTGCATGCAGAGACATATCTCTAATGCCATCTATTATCTAGCCTTTGTGTGTATCATATACTGTATTATAAGATATGTGGTTAATAGTATTGTTAGAGCTGCAGCTAAAGAGTAGTGTCATTATAAATTAATTCCTTTTTAAATTATTCAAAAAATTAGAAGTTTCCAGAGCCCAAGACAACATCTTCAGATTGCTTGTCTGATGTTTACAGTGTTATAATCAGGAGAAAAGGTGTAAATCCTCACGTTTAAGATGCTGGTACCTGAGAACGTTTGCTTTTCTGCTTCATAACTGACTTAAAAGATTAATAAGCTATCAAAGTTCTGCTAAAATAATTAACCGATTAATTAACTTATAATTTCAGCACTATATTATTATGCAGTGTGTGGATGTACGCTTCATCATATGGTTTCTTTACGTGTCTTCTTCCACCTCAGCTGTACTCACTGTTTGTCATTCAAACCACAGCAGAAGTGTGTGGCCGCTGTTTCAAAGCTTTAATTAGGTCTTGTGAGGGAGCCTTTTTAAAAATGTACATTCTGTACCCATTAAAGGAGGACAGTGCAAGCCATTGTTAATGAAGGAGGCGTGACCTACACGTGTGGCCTGGTGGAATTTCAGTGTCCCATAGGGTGACTCTGAGGGTGGGGGTAGGGGGGTTGGGGTAGGTGTAGGTAACACAAGCAAAAACAACGAGGAGTGGCCGGGAGTAGGGAGGGGTGTGTTGTTCCTGTTTCAAAGCTTTTGCTAATGAGAACTACAGTAAAATGACTCATGGTTTCATTTGTTTTCAGATCAGTATTCTTGACTCCAAGAGGGGGATGAATGTGGGCATTTTCCTGAAGCAGTTCAAGAAGTAAGTCCTCCACCGCACCGGCATCAGCACCTGAGGGAAGAGCTGCTTCCATAACGCTCAGTGGATCATGTCCAGAGGGATGACAAACTAAAGGAAAAGCCAACTTAAAGAGTGCACGCTTTCAAGCAGTGTCTCCTGGAAGGCATTCATGGTTTTGCACTCGGCTATTCACACAAAAAGTGACAGAAATAGTTGTATGAAAAAATGGGAAAGGAGAGCTAGAGAGAAAAACCCTGGCTACACACACACACACACACACACACACACACACACACACACACACACACACACACAGCTGGTCAGTCGCAGCGTGAAGTGGGTGTGAATGTCAGGAAAGGTACACAGCCCTCACAGTTCCAATGCCAGAAAGGTGTGTGTGTGTGTGTGTGTGGGGGGGGGGGGCCATCCTCTGGCACTGGAGAGTGATTTGCTGTTGATAATTGTGGTGGTAACAATGCTAACAGGCTTCGCGTGATTTGCCGTGTGTTAGTTAGCACTCATAGCAACCCAGGTCGTGTCAGTCCAGGGAGTGAATATGATAAAACTGCTGCTTCATGGAGACTGATCACACGCCTTCTTTCTACAAGTCTGTTCTTTTTCGGTTAGTTTGTATTCTTTTATTCAGTAAGTGTCTTCACACCAGGTCAGTCACAGGTCACTGTAGTCCATTGTTTATCTGCAGCCTGGTGAGTGCGCAGCTGCTCTACTCCCTTCAGCAATGGTCAAGGTTAGAGGAGGCTCTTATTGATAGTGTTTGAGGCGCCTTAGAGTTTCAGGGACAGACGGTGTGCATCACTTTGAAGTCAAGGTCAAAAACCACAACATGAGTTTGGTATGTTTAAGTTTAGGAATCCAAAAGTTGTGAGAGATATGCATTAGCCTTATTTTTTAAAATATGGAGCCATGTGAGAAACTGGGTTTATGTACGCCCTTTCATGGCGTTGCACTGGTTAACCTGTTAACGTCTGTAATTGTCTATCTGTATATCTATTTGCCTATCTGCTTGATGCACCAAGCTTCAATAAGTACTTCTACTTAAGACAATGTCAGTGATGGGAAATAGAACAGTAGCTTATAGACCTGTGATGCCATGATGTCCGATATACGATGCTGCTGTTGTGAGGCCATGCATAGAAAATTATAGATTCTGGTATTTTGATTTGTATCATATGTAGTGTAGTTTTCAGTCCCAAATCACCCATGGCTGTTCAGCTGGATTGATATCTGGTGACTGGGAAGGTCATAGCTTATGATTCACATCATTTTCATACTTATCAAACCAGTCATGGAGGGTTTGATAAGATGGTGTGGAGGCATCTGTATTTGTTGTGTTTCTCTACTCATTTGTTCAGGTTTTCCCTGTCCGCATATTTAGTATACAGTATCATATTTCATTGGGAGTAATGTAAATGAAACTCAGTGTTGTTGTGTAACTGCTTTAGAGATGGTGTGACCATGAGGCCATGTATAAGGAGCACTGGTACAGAGTGGCTAATGAACACTGGAGAAAACACTAATTGATCCCAAAGGAGATTTTAGGACTCTGAACTGCAGAAATGAAATGAAATGAAGACTGATAATGTGTTTTAGCTGTTCACGCTGCTGTCCCAGAGATATGAGACCCAACACTGATAGTATCATGAAAACATTCTCAGTTTCACTTTGTGTTTTACTGCCTGGCCGAGGAAAAATCCGTTCAAAACCTTTAAAACTGAGGGAGATTAGGGTCAAAATCTGTGTCACTTATTCTAATCGGCTTTCTTACCGCTCCATTGTTTTTAATTAATTGGTTCAGGAGCTCTCGAGGTGAGCTCAACCAGACTCAGCATTGTGTTACATACAGTAACTAGGCTGAAGAAGAGTGTGTTAGGTGTCTGTTTGCATGACGGTGTATTTGCATGGCTCCCCACTGTATTTTAATGACATTTGACTGTCAGCCATAATGTTCTCTGTGAGGACTGAGTCTGAGCAGTGACCTCAGCAGAGGCGGTGTTTATTTTTGTTTGTGGCTTTTCATTTGACTTCAACACTAATATATGCTCATCTCTATCATCTGTATATATTACCCCCTATCTTCTCTTATATGGTTTTACAAAATACTCTGTTTTTATAACAAGTGCAGAGCTCAACTTTATATTAACACTAAACTAAAGGTAAAAAATGATGTACAGAAATAGAGTTGTGAGGAAGGAGAAAGTTATGATCACAAATGTTTCTTTTGTCACTGTGATTCTCTTTTCATTGTCTTCTTTTAACAATATCGGCTCAATTCAAAATACTTAATTCATCTGTCAAGGGTCAATTTGGTGCAAGCAAGTTTGCAAACAAAAGTTCGTTTACATACATAAAACAATCAAAAAATACATATATTATAACGTGTTGAAATACAGAAGGATACTTATACTTCCAAAAGGTACTTGTAAGGTATAAAGAGTGGATTTATGAGTCTATACACAAGGTGAAGTGACCATTTCTTGCACTAATGCTGTTAACAAGTCTAATAGCTTCTGGAATAAAACCAAAATTCCCACTATTGTTTTACAAGCAGGCAATCTAAAGCACATTCCTGATGGCATTAGCTTAGAGACATCATGGAGGATGTGTGGGGTCGCTGATAATCTGATATGCTCGTTTGAGGACTTGTTCAGTAATAAGCTGTGCTGGAGATTTTTGTCTTTTGCCCATCATTTCAGAGTTGAGGTTAAGAACAGCTTCCAATCTGATTCAGTTTTTTTGGCAAAGGAAAGTAAACTAGCAAAGGAAAAAAAAATCATAGTCAGTATTCTGTGTTCTAGTCTAAAGGAGTTTAGTTTACATTGGTGGTAGTAGAGTCACACTGTTGACAGAAGTGAACTGGAACACTCTCCTGCTCTCATCTCACTTCAACGCTAATATCTTGTCCTATAAGTGCAAAACTAATTATACAGCAACCCATAAATTTAGGCTCAGAAATCACACACAGTCGCCTCAGCCTGCACTGTGACCCGCAGTACAGTGAGTGGGTAAAACTGACGGAGCAGCTCAGAATATGTTGAGATATAATACAACAAGCAAACTGTGGCCTCAAGGAGTTGAATGAACATGAACCTATCGCAGATTATAAGCCTCGCTGATAAAGGTGATGTTTATTACAGAGCTTCAATACTGGGTTGCATCACATTTGTAAGGTGAATGCTTGCTGGACATTGTCAATGACAGCTTTCTAATAGTCGTTTTCATAGCAGTGATATATGTAACCCAGATAGAAAAATGAAACCTCTGGCCCAGTATACACCCCAGTGTCATGTCTACAGGGTCTGACCCGTATATTTCCACATCTGGGTAGACTCCAGTTGTTATTCTCCGGTGTTGACTGACTGCTGGAAGATGATTTTCCGTACATGTACCACAGTTGGTCCAGATGTGGAAGTAGCATCTCAGAATCATGCTGTATACTGAGCCAGAAGGAACACAAGCATGTGGCCAGATGTATCTTTCTATCTGGGAAGTTTTTGTGTTGCAGCGCTATAGACCTGGGACACGAAGGACACGATGTGTAAAAATGAGCACTGCAGCTCTCTCATGCACAGTAGAGGGGACAGTTTATGCTTGCACAGATGAGTTCAGTTCTGCGATTTGTATCTAAGCACAGTTTTTTTTCTTTTCTGTGAGTTTACTCATTGACAAAATCTGTATAAACTGGAGACGACGCTTTTCATTTTGTTTATATAGTCCACTACATTGTCAATGAGGAAGAGTTGGGCTTAGTGCCCAAATAAACACAGGATTAAAAGAGAGCACCTGGGCCATTCATCATGGAACTAAATTAAAATGAGCTATCTGACTTCCAGGTCCAACCGCTCCATTGTTGAAGACATTCGACAAGGAGAAGGGAAGATTTATGGAGCAGAGCTGCTCAAAGACCTGATGAAGCTCCTTCCTGATGCAGAGGAGGTCTGTGTTTGACTATTTGTGTTGTGCATGTCTGGCTCTGAACAAATTATGAATAGCATAAAGCTTTTGAATAAAACTCATGATCTAAGACAGTTTATATAGACTGTAGACGCTGAGCTTCCCCTTTCTCTTTATTTCCTCCACAGATCAAGAAGCTGCAGATGTTTAAGGGAGACCCAGACAAGCTGACACTCGTCGATTCCTTTATGTACCTCTTGATCCAGGTGCCACGGTAGGTTGAATTCAATGGTGTAGTTTGTATCAAAGGGAAATGTGAAGTCACTTATTTGGCAGTCAGTGAAAGGTGAAGGGTTTGCACTGTTTAGAGTTTTATCATTTTGTGCATTGAGCATATTGTGACCGTGTAATGCTTTCCTCATTCACATGCTTATGTAAAAGTATTATATTTGTACATATAATTCAAGTGCAATGTCCCAGATTCAGTAGATATTGATATAAGTGCCAAAATGAGCCTACCTGCAAAGATTTAAGTGCTGCTGCTATGAGCCTGTTTTCATACTCTCTAGAAGGGCCTAATCTAATTCCTCCAGATTTTCTTTTCTCCAATAGCATGGAGTGGTAACACAGCAATTGCTGTATATACTAGTATTAGTGGAGAGTGGATGCAGTAGCCCATGCTGGGGGTGTGATGGAGAAATAATGCAATGATTGGACCAATTAACAGCTATAGACAGCCTCAAAGCCAGCATCAAATGCCAGTGGAACTTGAAATGAGCTATTTGTAAGTTTTGCTATCGCTACATAGCCAATGTTAGCATCAACAGCTGTTTACTTACCAGTCTAGAAGAAACATTACAAGTTCAATATCAAACTTCATTCCTTTACTCACCAAGAGCTGCCTCCAGCACTGGAAAGCAACGCCAATATTAACTCTTATCTCTATCACATCTTTTCTTCTACTGAAGTTAGCACGCTAACCAGCTAGCCCTGGCCCGTCTCGTCACTTTCTGATAGCAACTCACTGTAGCCTCCAATAGCCCCTTTAAGGCCTGTGGGCACCATAGTATTGAAATAAAACTTCCTTTTTTTAAAAAATTATTTATAGTAAATCCTGTAATATAAGTAGTGGCATGAAAAACAATCTCAGAGTAGTGAGTAATAACATTACTTCTAAATGACTATTGAGTATTCTGAGGTGCTAAAAGCCTCAACCCAAGATGAAGATTTGTCAGGTTAATTTCCACTAAGTAAGCATCCTGTTTCTCCATCCATCAACCATGACCACACATGAAACAATAGTTAAAGCTCTCTGTGGAACCTTCACCAGTGTTTTTAAACAAGACAGTCGACTATTTTCCATCCCATCACAACCTTCAGAGTGAGATTCATCACAGGTCGCAGATTTAACCGCCTCGTCTGCTCTGTCTCTGGCAGGTTCGAGATTCGGATCGAGGCCATGGTCCTCCGTGAAGAGTTCTTCCCTTCCTGTGCTGTGATGAGCCACGAGATCGATGTCGTCCGCGTCGCCACTAAAGGTAACAACACACGAGCTCCGCTTTCATCATACACACACAGTCATATGCATCCAAGACGGGTGGCCCAGATATTTGAGCCGTCAGCGGTGATAAACAAAAAGCAGGAACGTGTCACCTGAGATACAGTGATGTGGGGACAGAGGGGAGAGGGAAGGCTGTGTCATGTTGGTGCTGCTTTGTAATGTTGATTTTAAAAAAGATATGTCAATTAAGTTGTAAAATTGACTATAAGTGATTGCAAAAATTGTCATCAGCTTTGTTTAATTTCAGTTGACAGTTGCTGTGCAACAACACAGCAGCCTGATGTGTGCTTTATCCTCTTGCTCAGCCTGTGCTACAGAATAACAGCAACAGAATTTTTGTTAATGGCATCATGTAAAAATTAACTTAAACATGATCTAACAAGACTAAAAGTCTACATGCTAGTGGCTCTTTAAGGCTCTTTAAGGCTCTATTTAGGCACTATGGTGGCACAATGTTTACCATGTTCACCATAGCGTGTTAGCATGCTAATGCAAAACACAATATACAGCTGTGGCTGATGGGAATGTCATAAGTTTTTGCACAAATTAAAAAAAAAAAAAGTCAGACTTATTATGCAGAGCGTGAATCTGGTGAAAAGCAGTGAATGAAACGACCATCCGATGACGCTAGCATGGCTGAAAATGCTATGTGCTGCTGAATTTGTGAAGTGTAGCTGTACACACACACACACACACACACACATATACACACAGATCACATGCCTGTATCCACATCCCCAAACATATTCTGGGTGTTTATGAACTCACCAACAAACTTTGAAAAATATTAAACTATTTTTTCGAGCATCACTTGAGCCTCAGTGTCATTTTAGCTGAGTCACACTGCCCTGCCTCTTTGTGCCGTATTGCATTTTTCTTAAAGCCTCGTTTCTACAATAGCGTGACCTTTTCACTGCATTGCAGGGCTCTCACCTAAACGCTGCATGGAGAAAATTAAGGAGAACTTTGATGACACCATTTAATTAAAACTATCAGCAGTATTTAACATTTAGCCTTACTGTTAGCACTAAAGGGACAGGTGGTCAAAATGTAAAAGGAAATTCATGTAACTGCAGATGAGTCTGAAAAACGCTGTCATTATTACTGCTGGCTGTCAAGTGTGTGTGTGGTGTTTAACGACAGTAAAATGGTGTGTGACGGGCTGTTGTGATCTGCTTTCTATTGATCTCTTCCTATAGAGTTGATGAATTGTGAGGAGCTTCATGCCATCCTGCATCTGGTGCTGCAGGCCGGAAACATCATGAATGCCGTAAGTCTGCAAGTCATCTTTCATTTCATACATTAACACTCCTGCCTGTCTGATTTAATGATAAGGCTGGTGTCATATTTCTTTCTCTTTTGTGAACAAATCCACTAAAAAGACGAATATTTTCCAGCTTCTCTAACCTGTCTGTGGCTCTGACTCAACATTATCTTTGATTTTTGAAAACGGCTCAGTAATTTGTCTTTAGCAAACATCACTCAAACTGAAGTATATTGTGCATTTGTTGGGGTTGACTGTTTTCAGTCACAGATAAATATGTGGAGGGAACGTGTCACCCAGTGTAACGAGGTGGCTCGTTGACATGTTTTTAAAGAAACAGCTTGACATTTTGGGAAATACAAGAAGACTGATACTACTCTCGTATCTGTCCGCCAAATACGAAGCATAAAGACCATTTAGCAAGGAAACAAATTTCCACCTACCAACACCTCTAAAGCAAATCAAAACATTATATGTCATTTGTTAAACCCATAGAGGTGCTGGAAGCGCAATCGTTTTAAACTATGGACAGTGCTAGGCTAGCTGTTCACCCCTGTTTTTAGTATTTGTGCTAAGCTAAGCTAACTGTCTGCTGCCTCTAGGTCTATATGTAGCATGCAGTACCAGTTTTCTCATCTAAGTCTCACGAAGGAAGTAAAGATGTTTCTCTAAATACTGAACAATTCTCTCAAGTGCATCAGTGTTGCAGTGTTGTATTGATTTGAATTTGTATATATGCCCCATAAAACAGACAATAACCCTCTATTCAAGATATTAAAGAATGTTTATTGTGGATATCTTAGGCAACATATCAATATGAAAAAGTAATTAAAACTAATAAAATCAAATAAGTGTAGGGCTGTAGCTTACAACTATTTTCATTAAGAATTAATCTTCCTGTTATTTTCTCATAATCTTAATCAGTTAATCATTTAGTCTCTAACATGCCAGAAAACAGTCTGTCCGTAAGTTTCCTGAAGCCAAAGGCAATGTCGTCTGTTTGACTAGGCTTTTAATACACTTTAGTAGGGTCACTTCATTGTTGATTCCGACAATAAGAAAAATATAAAATATAATCAGACTCGTCCTTTAATTTTCTTGTTATCTTTCCTATGATCCTCAGGGCGGCTACGCAGGGAACGCTGTGGGCTTTAAGCTGTCCTCGCTCCTCTCACTGGCCGACACCAAGGCCAACAAGCCGGGGATGAACCTCCTGCACTTTGTTGCCATGGTTAGTAAAAGCTGCAGGTATACAATGTTGATGCACACAATGGCATTAAGGCCCGTACTGTTTTATGTAATCCAATACAACACAGCAAAGTGAGGTTACAGAAATTACCATGGAGTTAAATCAACACTACTGATATGGTGCCACCGTAAAATTGTGCTGCACTGACTCAAACCTCCGCTGTGTTACTTGTAATAATATAAGGTGTCTCTGGTGTTGCCATTAATGTGTATGTTTGACTCTGTTTTTCAGCTGTGATTAAGTTTATGAACTGAACATGTTCATCAGCTTTGCCAAACACACTAGTTGAAATAATTTACTGTGTAATGGTAACTATTTTTGAGGACATTACACATTCCCTATTGAAAGGTCTCTGGTCTGATTTTCACAGTTAAAGCCAGACAAAACTCCAAATTTTAATGAAACATATAAAATAAACCCATAAAGGATGGATCAAAGGATTATTTGTCAGCCACAGAGAATTAGCTTCCCACAAATATTTCACAGCAGTGGTGCTTGAATCAACAGTGACCAAACACTGGGATTACAGAGGGCAGGTGGACAGCAGATGGTGACAGGAAACAGAAAAAGAGCCAAGAGTGGCTGGCCAGACACTTACATAACCAAAACAACAGAGTAGTCCTTCAGACAGCAGTTCTTCCACTTTACCTTGTACTGCACCAAATCTGTGGATGGAAAACGTGTAATGTGTCTCTCCACACAGGAGGCGAAGAAAAAGGACGAGAAGCTCCTCAAATTTCCAGAGAAACTTCAGGATGTTCAGAGTGCAGCCAGGTGAGCAGCGTGTTCATACACCCTCTTTAACATCACATGGTGTCACTTGTCAATGCACATGTGTCCTGACTGTGAAGATGAGAATGGTGTTATCAACCGGGCTGGAAGGAATCTCTCTGTAAGTCCAAGCAAGATAATTTCCACCAGAGGTTGTTGAATTTCATCAAATTTGGTTTCCAGTGGTGATGCGAGGATCGGCTCTGATGTCATCTGAATCCACATGTATGCATAACTAATCCACCTGCCGCCCGCCTGAGCACAATTTACATACCAGCACCCGATCAGTGGGATATTACGCAGGACGATATGGTAACATATTACCCTGACAGGCTGGTTTTAAATAAACAAAAATTTATTTAAATTAAAAGTTGTCCGTTTTTGGTCAAATGAAAATAGCCGCGAGTATTTTCACAATAGCCTGAACACAGTGTGACATTTTTAATCCTTTCAAACTAAAAGTCTGCATCTCACTGCTACTTCCCGAACACAAACGCTGCCCAAATTAAATAATATATATGTGTGATTTATATAAGTTCAGCCTGATGAAAAAAGAAGCATAAGATATGTTCATATTTTGGAGAATGTAATTAATATTTTATTCATACATAATGTATTATTTCACACATTCGCTGTTAATCAAAATGACAGTTTTTGTGACCTGGCCCGTCCAATCAGTGCCCGCGGATATAACTGCGATTTGTGCATCACTAGTTTCCAAGCTTTACCACTGAAAACAGGTGGAGAACAGGTGGCATTGTTCGAAAGCTGTGATTGGCTGGCTGCCCTACTGACCATAGCTTCATCACAATCAAACTTTGGTAACGCAGTGAGTCGTACTGTTCCAGCCTCATGCTTTAACAGAGCTATAATAACACCAGCAACTCCAAAATTCACCATAAGTTTAGACAAATTTAGTTTCTCATTGTTCCCCCTCTTTGTTGTTTCTACACACACCAGCCTCTGACAAACTTGTCATAAATATATTTAAAGTGTGTAGTTATTTCTGGGATGTGTAAATTAGGTTTTAACGGTTTTATTTATTGCTAAATTGATCACCACCTCAGCCTCATTACTTAAGCTGACATCTAACTTAAGCACAGCACTTGGAGCAGCGCGTTCAGAACGCCGTGTGACTCTGGTGGCTGTCAGCTCAGCTCTGTCAGCTTCACAAGGTCATCTCTGTGTGGAGTCAGTACAGCTCCTGCACCACAGAGCCAGGATTACTCCTCCCTCCCTCCCTCCCTCCCTCCCCCTCTCTCTCTTCCTCCCTCAGGATATGTGAAGCCATTTCTCACAGCAGTTTTGTTGTCACCTTTAACAGATGACAGTCTGCCAGTGTATTCAGAAAAATGTTCTCAAATGTTTCCACGCTTACCGGCATTATAAGGATGATTTGCAGCCTGCAGTGTGATTATTGTGTGTGCAATAACCAAATTGTCTTTTCTCATGTAGAATCTCAGTGGAGAACATCGAGTTGGAGTTTTCCTCTTTATATGTTCGGATTAAATCCCTGGAGGAAAAGGTTCAAGGAGACCAGGAGCTACTGCGGCAGCTGGAGCCCTTTCTGCAGGTGAAGCAGCAGTAGTTATGTAATACATTATTATACACAGACACACAGAGAGAAAGTTGGATCCAGGCCACTGTACATTTCTGGCGCTGCTGACTCAAGTGCTGTAGATAATGACATCCGTAAATGTGTGTAACGTTGTCTAAATAGAAAATGTGTGTGTGTGTGTGTGTGTGTTTGTTTGTTCGATGGCCTGTCTCAGAGTTCAGCACAGACTCTCCAGGACCTGAAGAGACGCAGGCTGGATCTGCGTAAAGAGGGAAACACTCTCATCGATTTCTTTTGTGAAGACAAGGACACGTTCAAGCTGGACGAGTGCTTCCGCATCTTTCAAGACTTCTGCATCAAGTTCAAGAAAGCTGTTAAGGTCAGTTTGATTTAAAAGGCTATTACAATGCTTTGTGGTTTTGGTCATTATTCCCCAACAGTAATAATAAAATATGTCCCTACTCACTAACTTGATTAGTGAGATCAGGAAATATGGCAGTGGTGCTAAAAAGAAGTTTATACAGAGAAACACAAACATTAGGCAGCTTTATTTTGAAAAGAAAAGAAAGAAAGGAAACATGAATACCCAACAAGTTTCAGCTTTTAATTTCCAACTTTAACTTAATTGTCCCCAAGGAAAATGGTCTTGCAGCCAGATAAAACACAGGGCACAGTATGACCGTGTGACCTAATATTGGATGTGCCACATCTATTTTTTTTATGAGGATTATCATCAACATTTTTCACTTTTGGTTTAAACTCCAAATTAAGTGGTTTACTTCAGCTTACTTCAGCTTCAGGATTAATGAAGACTGAAAGCATTCATTCCAGTGGAGGGTGAACCACAGACAAGAGTGGTCTTATAAACATAAGATGTTACCGATGTTAATGATTATTATAATGTAACGTGACATTTTTTTTTAAAACTATTCCCTCCAAATTGTATCATGTTGAAACAATATTGAAACATCTATTAAAATTAGTGAATTTAGAGGTAAAAAGGTGCTTGAACTGCTTCTCGTCTGATTTGATGTTACATCATCTAAGTGTGTTTCTTGCATTTCTCACTCTACATTTCTCCACCTTTGTGTTTCTCTCAGGACAACATGGATCGCGAGTTGAAGGAAGCAGCCAGACAGCGTCGTCTGAGAGAGCTGGAGGAGAAGCGTTTTGCGTGGTCGGGTGCAGATCAGAGCGGGGGATTCGGTCGCAGCAGCAGCGAGAACGATGTGGAAATGCTCACCAAGGAAGGCCTCCTGGACCTCTTCCAGCAGAGGTCTCAGAGTCCCCACAGCCCGCTGGGACGCTCCGCCAGCGCCCGCCGTCACCGTCACACCATGACCTCCATAGCGGACCGCGAACTCCAGGGATACCTTGAGCTGTTTGGAGGCACTGGGAATCCCACTGACTATTCCAAGTTTAACAGCCTACCTCGGTCGGGACGCCCCGTGCAGCGGAGGACGACACCCTGGATCTTAGCCCAGGATGACAACCGGGAGTTAGGCTGCGACAGACAGGTGACGTCTCCATGTGCAGAAACTGAACCTATCAGCCCGCTGGCCAGGTTTTCCTCCTCCGGGTTAAATGATAACGAGGACCCGTACAACAACAACATTAATTACACATCTGTATCAGAAAGCAGCGCTCTGCCTCGCTCCTTTTGTTTCTTTCAGAAGCCTGTCCACCTTCCCAACCCAACATTTACTGGCCACATGAATGTTAGTGTGGAGAAACATACTTTAGTTCGAGGTCCTCAAGCTTTTGACCTCCCTAGTCCAAACAATAACAGTAATCATATGCACTTTGTCAACCAGGGGGATGTGGTGGTGACAGATCTGGAAAAGGAGAGACGGTCACCTCCCAAGAATCTGAACTTTCCAGGTGATAAACTTTTAGAAAGAGGAGTAGATCTCAAGGCAGTGTGGGAAGATAAAATAGATCCTCCTACACAGGCTGGGTCCTCTCCTGAAAGAGAGAAAGAAGAAGAGGACAACAGCACAGTCTCATCAACAACCTGTGATACAAACCTTCCTCTAGATACCTCTGTATCCAATAAGAAGCCAGTGTTTTACATCCTAGACTGCACAGAAACTGACTGCTCCGTCACCTTGGATTATTCTGAGGCTGAAAGTTCCTCTCTAACAAAAGAGGGACTTCACTTCAGAGCAACGGACTGCAGCAAGGATCAGGAGAGCCAGCAAGATCCAAGCTCACTGTCCTCTAATCTGGAGTCCATGTCTCCTAACGAGCAGTCTGTTTCAACCAATGAGCTTTCAGCACCGAAATCTGTGGACGCAGCATCCATGACTCCGTCGGCGACCACGGAAGAATGGGACACGGAGAGCTGCGACACCGCTGAGGGAAAACAAGGCACAGACAAAGATGTGCAGAGAAGCAGCAGGAAACCAGCGCACGTGAAGAGTAAAGCTAACAAAGCGACAAAGAGCAGCGGAGGTCGCGGCGTTCGAACGCTGACCAGCAACGAGAGCCAGGGCATGCGGAAAGTTGTGCCTATTAGCAAGCTTACGAGGCCGGGTAGCAGCAAGCACGGAGAGAGGACTTTGGCGCACGACAGTGGGGAGTCACGCCGGCCTCTCCGAGATCAGAGCACCCCGGCAAGAGGAAGGAGCGAGAAGACCACAAGACCTCCTCGACACTCCAGTCTGCCTCCCGACGAGTCAAAAGCTCAGAGGGGAAGCAGCACGAGCGGCGTTTCAAGATGGGCACGTGATTCGACCCCGAAGAAGGCCTCCACCCACAAGCCGAGCGCCAAACCCCTGAGGAACATCCCCAAGCCTCCTCCGGAGGAGAAAATGTGCCGCTCCACCATGAGAGCCTTGGCCCAGGCCCAGGCTCAGGCTCAGGCTCAGGCTCAGGCCCAGGCTCAGGCCCAGGGTGGCGCTTCCTCTGAGAACAGCAGCTCACACACTCTCAGCGCAAAAAACACCTCCGACGTCCCCAGCTTTGCCCGTAACACCGTCGCTTCGACCTCCAGGACCAAGAAGGAGCTGGGCCCCCCGTCCGTCCCCTCCACCCCATCTCGCAGCCCCTCGCTCCTGGGTCGACAGTCCTCCGTGAAGCAGAACAGGGTATCACCCACAGTCCCCACCAGCGAGGAGCGGCCACAAGGGACAAACCTGCGGCGAGTGCAAAGCGTGAAGGCCGCCAGTCGAAGCACCTACCGCAGCGAGACCCCGCCTCCGACACGTGAGGATATTCGCAAGACTAATAGCTTTTCCGAAAAGGCGATGACGCCCAGCAGAAGTGCTAAACCGAGCTGGAAATAAAACAAACCAACTGGAGAAAGACAAGTAGAGACTCTCTCCCTGAGCTCAGTGTAAATTGATATTCACTCCTCTTCCCCATCTACAGTTCTGACGTCTCCTCTCATATGATGCAAAAGACAGGAATCTGAATCTCACCAGTAGCTGACTCTGGATCAGGTTTATGAATTGCAAAGAGCAAGATGCAATGAACCTCTCCATGTGTTCCACTTCGTTCATACAAAAAAACCTGTTGTTCACAACTTCCTTTTTTCTTGGGGGAGGGGGGAGATTAACTAAACTGACAAATGGCAAATTGGTGTCTTTACACAGAAGCCTCTTTGCCTGCTTAGCTGTCTGTGTAGCATCTGTGCTAGTGTCTGTGGTGATGTTGACGTTGAACACTACTGTCTATACAATGCTGCTAATTAGCTCTGACAATTTGAAACTTGAGTTTCAGTGTCTGTTTGATTCAGGGTTACAAGATTTGTTGTACCTTACCTTGCTGCTCTTACGGTGATTTTCCGTTTTGTTGCCTCCTCCTGTAGAGAACCGCTCCGTTTGCTTTTTGGTTCCTTTGCTTGATACCTCAGAAAAATTGCAGTGGCCTTGTACCAGCAGACAAAGTAGGATATATTCTTTGGTTCTGCATGATAACGATGTAGACAAAATCTGATCGTTTGGTTTAAAATAATTGCAATGTCACTTTTTACAAATCCCTGGTATATTACTATTACGACAATATATATAAAGTCACAGATTATATGCTCACAGTGCGTACCAACTGTTGTACTACTCGTACCTTGTGTATGTATGTGTCTGTAGTTTGTAAATGTTATAGAACCCCTCCATAATGTCATGGAGTAGACGTGCACGTAGGAAACGTTTCCTATACACAGTAGGCTAACACACGATCAACGCTAATGCTTTGAAAGAAAAGCATTGAATGCATCTGAAACAACACTGAAAATACCATCTGTCATGTGATCTAATTTTTCTACTGTGAATGTAGTCTGATCAGATTCTCTCCAGGCCTGCAACAATAGCTCTAACTGGTCATAATTTAGCTTAGCATCAGTTTGCGCCTCTTATGTGTTACCATGACGTTCAAGTCACAGAGTGAGTCGTCCAGTTTTCTGAAAAATAAACACCCGCTGATCTTTGAAAATCCCAGATGTTCAATGAACAACACTTACTGCCTGTTTTCCAGAATCCTCAAATACATTTGTTCTGCTGCACAATAAAAATAAATGAAGCCAGTTTCTCAAGAGGCAAGCTATATTTCCTAAACTTCGCCAGAAACTACATCTGTCCTTGCTCATTTTGTGTAGTACACGAATAATATAAACATTATTTTGTATGGAAATGTGAAATGATAACAATTTTACATCCCCTGTATACGGACAACATAATTGATAAAGGTTATACATTTTGTTTAAGTATTGCACAAACTAAGCACAGACACAGCATGTCATTTCTAGCTGCCATCTTTGAAAAAATATTCTGCTGCACAATAATGATATAATCCAGTAAATGTAGTACATTTACTGTTAAAAGTAATAATAAGTTACCCCATTTGTCAAGTTGCAGCATTGTTTGTTGCAACTTTTTTCAGTTATATTTGGCAATATTGATGTTACATTATTTTATATTTTCATTCAAAATAATAGGCCTATATTTTTCTTTTGTTGTACAAAAAGAGCAAGGACGTCATTTCCAGCTACTTGAATAAGAAATATAGTTTTATTAAAACAGACAACATCTTTTCCATCCAGAGTCTTTGAGGTTTCTGGAAAAATCTTCCAAACAGCAGTAAATTTTGTCAAACAAGTTATTTATTTTTCATAAAAACAGAGGCCTGTGATGTTGACACAGAAAAGGCGCAGACTGGGGCTAAATTCAGCCCTGTTGACCATCTCACACCACTTGCCTTTCAACCTGCATTGTGCCATTGCCTTGATGGCAACAACATTCACAACAGTGCATTGCCTTAAAGCTTAATGTAGCCGATCCATCACCAGTAGAAACTCCTCGATTGTAAAAGGAGAGTAGAAACTTTTCCTACATTCCATCACACCGAAACTGAAACAGTGACTCCGCTGGTTAGTGATTCACTTTGTAAATAATGTAAAGACATAGTATTTTTCTGACTATCAATATGTTTACATAGCATTAAAAAATGAAGGCCAGAAGAGTGAAGTGAAGTATGTGAGAGCACAGATATTTTAAAGTGGTCAGAGCATCCATATCTTGCATCAGATGTTTGAGAGCCCTGGCCTGCGGTGTGTTGACATGCTTTGGGTGTCTTCCTGTTCCCTGTAATGCAAATGAAGTTAATGGAGTAATGACACAAAAGACCCAGTGTGACGTGCCACCGTGTGTGTGTGTGTGTGTGGCCTGCATGTCGCCTAAATTTAGAGCGCTTTTCACAGAGAACAAAATGGAGTCATGTAGGACTGCAGCTCAACAACAATTAAAACAAAATTAATTATTGTTTATTAAGAGTTTAACACCAAAAAGCTAATTAGCTTCATCAGGACCGTGTGGGTGTAGTTTGAAGAGCAAAGGACAAAAACACAACAGCAGGAATCACTTATTTGAAAATACAAAATAAGACCCCATCTATAATAGAAATAAGCTGATAGAGAAAATGTTTTCATGGCCTTTAAAGGAGCTATTTGCAAGTTTTGCTATTGCTACATAGCCAGTGTTTACATATCAGTTGTTTTGTGAGTTCAGCATCAAATTTCATTCCTTTACTCACCAACAGCTGTCTCCAGTGGTGGAAAGCAACACCAATATTAACTCTTATCTCTATCACTTCTTTTCTCCTACTGGAGTTAGCATGCTAACCAGCTAGCCCCGGCCCCTTCTCGTCACTTTCCGATAGCGACTCACTGTAGCCTCCAATCTGCTTTTAAGACAAAGCATTGCTCAGAAGACGTATTATGACCTCTTGTCTTGTAAACGCAACAATGGCGGAAGCTGTCGTCAAGTGACAATCACCACCACCCCCTCCTGGCAAGAAACCACGTTCAGCGGCGGAGAAAACTTACAAATAGCTCCTTTAAATGTCAGAAAATAGTGAAAATTCCCATTTTGAAACCCATCTTAAAATCCAGTTGACCTGTTCGAAACTCTTGTATCATCCAACAAAGTATCCAAACCCAAAGATCATTCAGTTTGCTGATTATAAAACCAGTAACAAATCTCAAAATCACAAGGAATTTATTTGTATTTTTTCCTACAAATGACTAATTATTATATCAAAATTGATGTTGCTGATTGTTTTTCTGGCAATTGATTAATCACCTAATCGTGTCAGCTCTAAAGTAATGAATGAAGTAATTCCTTGTAAACAGTAGTTTGATGCTGCAGAATGCAGTGGATTATCTCATCAGTGCATCTTGAGTTCAGACATTTGAGATTTTTTAACATTTATCCTTCTGTAAACTTTCATTTAAATCACAAAGATTGTGGAAAACAGTTTGTAACTGATAAACCAACCATTTACAACTTCAAAACCCAGGAAAAATGTGTGTTTTTAGCATAAATAACGATTTGTCCCTCTTTTGGAAAAAAGAAACATCTTTAGTCACAACTTTTATTTCAATTGGATCATTAATTTGGCTGCAAAAAAAGACACACTAACTATTGTGAACCTTGAGCTGCTTTTCTCTTGCCTTGGACTCAGATCGTCCCTGTCTTCTTCTGCTCTCTGTCTCTGTCCTGAGTCTCCTCCTTTGTGTCGTCTCCTGCTGTCTTTTTAACAGCCCCGAGCGTCACAATGGCTGCCCTTTACATTAAATCACACTGGCCTGCAGCAGAAGAGCTGCTGTGGAATTTGAATACTTACTCACCCTTTTCACCACAACGTCCTTGTTAGGGGACGGTTACTGCAGTAACAGTGCAAACAGCAATTACCAATACTGACTCTGGCCTTGTAAATGGAAAGGTCAGTGTCATCCACAAATTTTTGTCAAGTTAAACTGGTATTGTTTCAAGTCACAAACCTGGTACAAACGTGCAACTTTATATTTAGAGTGAATCATTTTATATAATCTTTATAGTAGTCCTATATGTGTTCCCTCAATTTATCTCTCACCTAATGATTCATGTGTCTTGTTTTGGCATTAATTTCCCCAAGGACGTCTTTTGTACACAGGAGAGGACTGAAAGAATAGTTGAGGTGTTTTTTTACTCTGATGTGATTCTCTGTGATGAGGATGTTGACGTGTCTGCTGTAGTTTTCACACCTGTGCATAAATAGGTGCCGCGCCGCTCTGCTTGGTCTTTAACAATCTGAAGTGTCATGATGAAAAAAGCTGAAAGACTGATCACTACGTCGAGCAAATGATCATCTCTGATCACTAGACCACAGGGCTGCAAATCATGATCTTAACTGTTTATATTTCTGATGACGACATCAAAGAAATAAATAAAATCACATGTTGCTGTGTAGCCTGAAAACTTGTTCTCTGTTTTTTCTTGCTGCTCAATAATAGACGCTGCTGTGAATCATGAATGTTGACTATTTTTAAATCACTATTTTTGCTGTGCAGTCTGGAGGTCACGATGAGGACACTGATGGAAAAATTCCTGGTTGTGCAAGTAGCTCAGGTAAAAAAAACAAAAAAACAGACAAATATGGAAAATAGAACAAAAAAAAAGTAAGAAAAGCCCTTAAAAAACTCTTTTTTTGGGGGATGTGATGACAATTTCTCATTCAAATCAGGTTAAAATCAGTCTTATTCTAAGATGAATGTGTTGCAATAATAACACACAAACAGTAAAACCAGTTTGTCCCACGTCTGCCTTTAAACCACTAGAGTGCAGCAGAGTATCTGGGTTCATCGGTCTGTAATCTTCAACTCGTTGCATCCTCTGCCTTTTCTCTGTAATAACGAGCTTCTCAGAAACACACAAAGTGCTTTACAAATCAAGTAAATAAAATATATACTGTGTATAGATTTAAAACAACAAAATGTTTCAATACTGGAGTTGCATGGTGGTTCAGCCCCAGT